TCTCTACTACTTTGAGTCACAGCACCATTCCTGGTTTTCTGGTGGTTAATTGAAGCTGAGTCTTATGGGATGGCCTTGAATTGTGATCCTCAGATCTCAGCCTCCTGAGTAGCTATTATTACAGGTGTGAGCCACCTGGCTGTCACTGGGCTTCTTTTGCTACCACTTGAGCCACAATGCCACTTCCAGCCTTTTCTGTTTATGTGGTACTGAGGAATTGAACCCAGGGCTTCATGTATGCTAGGCAAGCATTTTACCCAACTAAGTCACATTCCCAGTGTACATTATCATTCTTGAGAGGACAAAATCATGAGTGACTGTGAACAGACTAGTTTTCACAAGCTAGGGTCAGGAAGTGGGTACGACTCTAAAGGGGTAGTATCAGAATTGTGTGTGTGTGTGTGTGTGTGTGTGTGTGTTTGTGTGTGCCAGTTGTGGGACTCAACCTCAGGGCCTGGGTAGTCCCTAAGCTTTTGAGCCCAAGGCTAGTGCTCTACCACTTGAGCCACAGTTCTACTTCCAACTTTTTGCTGTTAACTGAAGATAAGCATCTCACATAGCTTCCTGCTTGGGTTGGCTTTAAACTAAGATCCTCAGATCTGGGGCTGGGGAGGTGGCTCAGTGGTAGAGCGCTTGCCTTGCATGCATGAGGCCCTGGGTTCGATTCCCCAGCACCACATAAGGAAAAAGAAAAAAGCCGGAAGTGGTGCTGTGGCTCAAGCGCTAGCCTTGAACTGAAGAGCTGAGGGACAGCGCCCAGGCCCAGAGTTCAGGCCCCATGACCGGACTCCCCCCCCCCAAAAATCCTCAGATCTCAGCCTCTTGAGTAGCTAGGAGTACAGGTGATAAGCCACCAGCACCCAGCAAGAACTTTTAATTACAACAGAACACTGAGTATTTAAATCTCATCACTAGTTGCTTTACACATAAAATCAAGTAACAAGGTACCTCCTCCACAGACTTGCTATCTTAAACCCACATGACCAATCAGGCTTGATCTACTCACTTCCTGGTCGCTTCCTGCAGATGCTCCACATTCCCGGCAACTCTTAACTTTCTGGGTCTAAACTACAGCTTTCACTCTAATAGCTTTAATGAATTTAATGAATTACCCTGTAGGAATTCTGATGATGCTGCCCAAGCCTTACTTCCCAACATTAGTAGAAAGCTCCATTATATAACTTTGCCTCCTGCATACCTGATAATTCAAAATCACAAGGCAAGGATGCCAGTCTGCTGCCAGTGGAAGCTGTATCCCAGCTTCCACTACTATATCTGCGACCAAAGCTGTGTTTGCTTTGGAGAAATATAACGTGAGTAGACAATTCCTAGATGGATCTATTTGCAGTGGGGGTTTTTCTTACTGGAAAGTCTCAGATGGGTGTAAGATTGTGGAGATGCCCTCATCTTTTCTACTGTCCTAGTGCAAAGTACTTGCTTTAGCAACCGTACCCCTCTCAGCAGCACTTTATAAGTGCCCTCCTCTTTTTGGCTCTCAATGGAACTGCAACTTTGGCTAAAAGAAGCCAGCAATCTGTTGGAATGTTTACCTACCTTTAAATTTTCCTTATGAAACAACTACCTCACACAAAGTCTCTGGGCATAGACATATATCTAGATTTTCTGCCAAAGGGTTCCAGGTGTGTCTCAGTTGGTAGAGTGTTAGCCAATGAGCAAAAGTGGCTCCAGGTACCAAGTTTGAGTCCTGGTCTCAGACCAAGAAAAAAAGAAGTAACCAAATTCTCTGCTATTACCGGGCGCCGGTGGCTCACGCCTGTAAGCCTAGCTACTCGGGAGACTGAGATCTGGGGATCGCGGTTCAAAGTCAGCCCAGGAAGGAAAAATCCATGAGACTCTTATCTCCAATAAACCACTAGAAAACTGGAAGAGGCGCTGTGGCTCAAGCAGTAGAGCACTTGCCTTGAGCAGAAGAGCGCAGGATCAGCGCCCACACCAAGTTCAAGCCCCACGACCAACCAAAAACAAAACAAAACATTCCCTGTCACTGTAAAAATAGCCATTTTAGTCAGACTCCCAATTAAGTCCTTATTCCCATATGGAAACTCATGAGTATAACTTTTACTATCTACATTTCTACCAGCATTCTTATCTCTCACCAAAATCATCCACTAGGTTCTTCTTACAGCATTTTAAACTTTCTCTAACCAGCTTTATCAGGTATAATCTCAGGATTTTTTTGTGTGTGCCAGTCCTGGGGCTTGAACGCAGGGCCAGGGCACTGTCCCTGAGCTTCTTTTGCTCCTCTAGAGACTCAACTCCTTTAAAAAGAATTAAAAATTAAAATAATTGACAAAAAAAGTGTAACCAGAACTCATACACTGTAGGTGTAAATATAATTAGTAAAATTGGTGGGTTATATGGTATGGTAAGTATGCACTGAACTTTGTAATTGTCAGTTTTCCTAATACTTAAATGCAACAGTTCAGTTTTATTCATAATAGCAAAGCCCTGAAAACCAAGCCCAAATAGCCACAAATAAATGAAATGTGTCACAGCCATATATAAATTACTTGACAATACATTTGTATTTTGGCAGTGTCCATCAGTTTTGCCTGTTGTTCTTACCATCATATTTAGGTTGAAGGATCTTAATTTAAAATTAACTCTCAGGGCTGGGAAGGTGGCTCAGTGGTAAAGCGCTTGTCTTGCACACATGAGGCCCTGGGTTCGATTCCTCAGCACCGCATAAGCAAAAAGAAAAAAGCCAGAAGTGGCGCTGTGGCTCAAGTGGTAGAGCGCTAGCCTTGAGCTGAAGAGCTGAGGGACAGCGCCCAGGCCCAGAGTTCAGGCCCCATGACCGGACCCCCCAAAAATAAATAAAATTAACTCTCCCCAAAGCAGCCGTTTCTATCACTGCAATCAACTTCATACTTGAGGATATAGTTGTAAACCTCTACTTTTCATTGGTGGTGGTCTTGGGGCTTCAACTCAGGGCCTGGGCACTGTCCCCAAGCTTGCTCAAGGCTAGTGCTCTACCACTTGATCTACAGCTCCACTTCCAGCTTTTTTTTTTTAAGTGAATTGAAGAGTCTCATGCCCAAGCTGGTTTGAAACTGTGTTCTTTAGATCTCAGCCTTCTGAGTAGCTATATTAGGTGTGAGCCACCAGCATCCAGATTTTTTTTTAAGGTGGCATTATTAGTGACTGAACTCATGGCCTCACAACTGCCTAGGAAGGCACATTTGGCTAGTATTCTATCAATTCACACCTCAGTTCTCTTGCTAGTTAATTGGAGGTAAGAATCTCTAGAATTTGTCTGCCTAGCTGACTCCAAACTACAATCCTCAGGTCCAAGTCTCTTGAGTAGCTAGGATTATAGGCATGAGCCACTGGCACCCAGTTTCCTCACCCACCTTCAGTTTGCTTTCCAGAGAGGGTCCAGGCAAACCTTGAACCATGATCCTCTCTCCATCTTCTAAGTAGCTGAGATTACAGGTGTATACCACGTCTGGCTGTAGTTGGTTTCTCTTGTCCAGCGACTGGTTTTAAATTTATTCATTTATTTTTTGGATGTGTAGGATCCACCCAGATTACATGTTAGGTTTCAAGTTACGTGGTATCCAGTGCTTTCAGTAATTCTGATGGCCTACCAGTGGGGATCAATTAGAAGTGATGGCAAGAAAGAATAACATTTGAATGTAATCTGGTGGTGAATGGGCAGCTAGGCTTGATTCCCTGAAGGCAAGAGTATCTTGAGGCCTGGTGCCAGTGGCTCACACCTGTAATCCCAGCCACTCAGGAGGCTGAGATCTGAGGATCACAGTTCAAAGCCAGTCCAGCTAGGAAAGTCTGTGAGACTCTTATCTTCAATTAACCACCAGAAAACTGGAAGTGGTGCTGTGGCTCAAGTGGTAGAGCACTAGACTTGAGCTGAAGAGCTCAGGGACAACACCCAGGCACAATTCAAGCCCCACGACCAAAAACAAACAAAACAAAAAACAGTATCTTGAAGAATAGAGAATTGATCCTTAATGAGAAAATAGGGGGCAATGGACAAATCAGAACAGAGTGCTTCCTATTTCTTATCAATAGGCTCTATAATGAAATCTGAAGCTATACTTTTATATAAGTGTATAAAAGTAAGGGCCTAGATGTTAAAACACATACAGGCTATAAGAGCTAAGGGTATGTGCTTATACTGTCAGCTTCAGAAAGTTTAGGTTATCTTAATATGTATTTACTGAATAAACTCTATTACCTAAAACTGAGTTCTAAAACTAAAGGCTTAAGCTATTGTAGTTAGGGAAAAAATGTTTAAAAAACCCTGTTTTCAAGTGGTTGAGTTGGAGCTCCAGTGGCACAATCAGTTAGGGCACAGTACTTATAAAAAAGTGGCTGAGCCTGAGCCAGGTGCCGGTGCTCACACCTAGCTACTCAGGAGACTGAGATCTGAGGATCACAGTTCAAAGCCAGCCCAGGTAGGAAAGTTCATGAGACTCTTATCTCCAATAAACCACCAGAAAACCAGAAGTGGTGCTGTGGCTTGAGCTGAAGAGCTGTGGAACAACGCCCAGGCCCAGAGTTCAAGACCCACGACCAACAACAACAAAAGAAAGTGGCTGAGCCTGGCACTAGTGGCTTATATCTATAGTAGCTTATAGCTAGCTACTCAGGAGGCTAAAATCTGAGGATCACAATTCAAAGCCAGCCTGGACAGAAAAGTCTGTGAGATTCTCATAGCTTCAATTAACCATCAAAAAACCTGAAGTGGTGCTGTGGCTCAATGTGGTAGAGTGCTAGACTTCAGTGAAAAAGCTCAGTGATAGCTCCCAGGACCTGAGTTCAAGCCCCATGACTGACCAAAAAAAAGTTCAGTCCATAATAGCCTACTAACTGAAGTAAATCACATTTTTAAAAGACTTATCTTTAAACTTAAGCCTTAGAAACATCCAGATACTATGGACTTCCTAAAGGATACCACATTATCTATGATGCCTTGCCAATAAAATAAACAAAAAACAAACAAAAAAAGTCAAATCTGAATTTGGTCATGCTTTAATTCTACTACCAAAATTCACAAAAATATAATCATGTTAAGCTACACCACAAGGTGACTTCACTTAAATGTATTCTGCAGAAAATTTTCAGAACAATTCAATTTCAACATACAAACTGTAGAGGGTGAGGAAGGAGATTAAGATTGAGGATAGAAGACTGAGGGATGAACAGATTTTAAAAATATTTGAGATAGTAATTAATCACAATGATAGGTCTTTATTTGGATCCTGATCCAGACAAACCAACTAAAAATTAAATGCCCATTTATGATATTCGAGACATGGGAAATTAGAACATTTGCTAGGTAGGTACTTGGTAATCTACGAAAACTACTGTCAATGTGTTTTAGCATGTTTTGACAATGGTACTATGCTCATGTTTTCTGAAAGTCCTTATTTCCTAAGTATAAGCTGAACTATTTGTGAAAAGAAACTTTGAAAACTATTTTTTTAAGTTCATGAACGATAAAGACATTTTTAGCTTTGGGACATTTCTGACACAAATGTGTTGTTATAATCAGGCTTTTTCCCAATCTACAATGTTATAGAAGAATTAAGACAATATGTAGCATAACTGAGAATGAGTCATTTACTAATAAAAGCAGTATTATTAAACCAATTCAAGTAGCTCAAACTGGGAGATATTTCCCACTCGTCATTCAGTGTGACCAATGCAAGAGGAAATATAGCAGTGGATAGCACAAATTTAATGATTAATTTTCAACTTAAGCAAGTCTTAACTAAATTCTGATTCTTCACAATAAGAAATTATTTCAGTATCTGTAAGTGGCCCTTACAGTCACTTAGGGCTACTCACAGACATTGGAATAAATGTCACAAACTAATCATGATGCTTTAAGTGTTTCCCAGACGCTAATTTTGAATTTAACTGAATGCAGAAGCATCAAATGGAACAAGTTTGCCACGTAGCAAAGAACAAGAGCCTATAATAGCTTAGAAGGAAAGATGACCAGATGCTAAAACTTCAGAGGACAATTCTGCCATTTGGTGTAAAATGTGCGAGTGACTAGTACAAATATTCAGTAAATATTGCCATTATGTATGTACATGAAGATAGAGGTGGAAAGACTTGATCATACTAAAACTTCAATGATGAAAACACAGCAGTATTGAGAACAGCACAATGTCTGAAAATATTCTCATGTCTGAAATATAAGGTAGGACTCATGCTGAAAATGAACACAATTTAGAAATTACATACAACAGAACAGTCACTATCTTACTTTGGAAATATTTCCCATTTAGAGTTTTAAAAAAAGCTGAGGATAAAATTTGTTCTTAGCGCAAAAGACTTCATTCTAGCTTTCATTGCTAAAATCAGAGTAAAAATGTCTGTTTTAATAGACACAATGAAAACCAATAATTGATTAGTAAAAATCTATAACACAAGCCAGGAAAATGCAGTGAAGTAAAGCAAAGTGAGCTATTTTCTGATCATAAAATATTTATTAAGGTATACTTTAAGGAATATAGTGAATATAAAATTTAGGATCACAATATGAAGCAATTTCGTTCTTCTCAAAAGTCAGTACAGCCCTCAATACTCTGCAGATGTAAAACCACTAGTTAGACTCACTAAAAGCAATTTGACTAGTACAGAAGTGGCTTTTTATGAACATTTACAACTAGAGCATGTGAACACCTCTGAATTGCAAAACCACACCACATTACACTAATGTAGCAACAATGCATCCATATTGTTCTCATTAGTTATTAGTAGTCAACTTGCATAAAACACCAGGAAAAAAAGCACAATGGCGTTCACAAAATGGGCTTAAAATGAACCTGACCTTGCAAAACACACACTGTAATGGAAGAAGGGACATTAAAAAAAGTATTATGCATACTACAGAAGCTTCGTTCATTCCAAGAATCTCAAGTGTCATCTTTTTTTGTAAAATCAAATGACAAGAAACAGGCACAACTAATATTTGGGAGGCAGTGTGTAGCTAAAATCTCATTTAACTAATTAGTCAATGATTTCTAAAATCCCCATAAATTTTTTCTGTCCTTATTCAATGATTTTTAAAATCCCCATAAAACTTCTCTGTCCTGAGGTAGTTGCAAAATAAATCAAAATTTGGATATCAACTAGAGCTGAGGCTTCAACTTTTTAACTCATTAAAACTAGTTGTTTTCACAGAAACTACCTTTTGATATTTAAAAGACAGGTGAGAAATGGGCCTCTTACTACACACACAAGGTGATGGCTATGTGGGAAAGAGGAGAAGTGGCTTCCGAATGTGAGATATGGTCCACTGTTGCTTCAACCCTCCCTTCCCATTTAGATTCTTTATTGTCCAAAAGCCACCAGGAACAACAGTTGTAGACAGATCATCGTCCTTTGCTGTAGCCAGGGAAGAAAAGGTCAAGTAGAGTCTGCAGAATCTCATTGGGAATCATGATGTAATTCTGGCCAAGATCATGCCGGCAAGCAGGGCAGGAGAAAACCTGGGCCTTAAAGGAGCGCTGCAAGCAATCCTAAGGTAAAAACAAAGAAACATACATACAAACACCAAACTTCATCAGTGAGTCAAACATGAGGGAAAAAGACTCAACTTATACTTTTAATAGAGACTGGAACCCTAACTGCTCTAAATGTGTAAGGAAGAATAGCTAGAAAGGCCTGGCAGTCACAGCTTTAGTTCTACCTCCAATGCATATGGTGAGACTTGAGCTAAATGAACTATTTTGTGCTTCACTTTCCTCATCCAGTAAGAGCAGTATGCTTCCCATTGGCTAATCTTTCAGGTTGGACATTGATCCTGTTTTCTCCTAGAGCACTAAAGAAAAAGAGTGCTTGTCTCACATGCATGAGGCCCTGGGTTCGAGTCCTCAGCACCACATAAACAGAAAAGGCTGGAAGTGGTACTATGGCTCAAGTCGTACAGTGCTAGCCTTGAGCTGAAGAGCTCAGGGACAGCACCCAGGCCTAGAGTTCATGCCCCACGACTGACAAAAAAAAAAAGAAAAAATTCAGGATCCTCTTGCTTAAAACCAAGTTATGTATTTTATCTAAGTTAAGACTAAAATTAACTATGTATTTTATAAATTACTTTATACTGAGTCTCCTAAAAATAATTATACAGGAACTTACACAGGTTAGCAAACTCCTATGCAGGTCTGCTTCCATCTTACATTGGAAACTTAAGTTCTGAATTAAGATCAGGATATGAAACCATCACTTGATAGGGAAAGTTGCCAACCACAGTGTAAAACTTTCAGTTTACACCACCATACATAAACCATATATATGTACATGTGTGCACATAGACACATAAAAGCTCAGTGATACTATAGTTTCATTTCAACCCCTTTTCAGTAGTTCCAAATATAGTGGAATACCTCAATAGATAGATATCAGAATTACTATTAATGTCTAATGAAAATGTATTTATTAGCAAGATGAAATTAAATGCCTCTTAAATGGCAAGGTTTTATAACTATTTTCCTTCATGGAAAAATGTTATTCATATGCTAAAAATTGACAGATGCAAAAAACTTAAACATTAATTACAGGAAAGTGAGAAGTTTTACTTACTTTACATACGTTGTGGAAGCACTCTGTTGTCACTGGCTGGTAAACTAATTCCTGGCAGCAAACACACATAAAAGACTGTTCCAATTTCTTCAAAAAATTCTACAATGGCAACCAAGGGAAAAGAAAAAAAGGTTAGCAGTCCTTAACATACGAATAAAATTCTACACTGGAACCAAAAAAGTCTCTGTCACATTTAATGTGCTTACTTTTAACCACCTAAGACAATCAGACTTATATAATAACACTTGAAGAAACCCATCTAAATTTCATATTCCAAGATAACTGTTTTTCTTTTTTGTTTCAGGTTTTTGTTTTGTTTTCTTTTTGACAGGGTCTCCCTATGGAACATAATACTCAGTTCAGCCTATGCTTCCCAAGTGCACATGGATACACATTCAGCTATTTTTCATTAAAAAAAAAAAAATCAATGTTGGGAGTGTAGCTTAGTGCCTAATATATATGTGGATTGGCTTCGATCTTCACTACTGTAAAAGCTAACAAAAACATTGTCTCAAGGTCATTACATAATAATGTCTTTTTCTATAAGTTGTTCCAGTAGATGAAAACATTATTTAATATTTTGTTGCTACTCAGATTATTTTTTAAGATTTTTTTTTGGCATGAACTCAGGATCCTATAGTTTTGCTTGGTTTTCTTGCTGATGGCTGGAAAATCATACCATATTACTTAAGACTTATTCCCTATTTGACAATTTTGAACAATTACAAATTTCCTAGTAAGTTTTATTTTACTTTACTTATTTATTTTTGTCAGTCGTGGGCTTTGAACTCTGGGCCTAGGCGCTGTCCTTCAGCTCAAGGCTAGCACTCTACCATTTGAGCCACAGTGCCACTTCCATTTTTCTGATGATTTACTGGAGATAAGAGTGTCACAGACTTTCTTGCCCTGGCTGGCTTTGAACTATGATCATCAAATCTCAGCCTCTTGAGTAGCTAGGATTACAGGCATGAGCCACCAGTGACCGCCTCCTAGTAAGTTTTAGATTCAGTTGCCTGTGTTTCATAAATTAAAAATTCTTAAGCTGGACACCAGTGGGCTCACACTTATCTCTAATAATCCACCAGAAAACCAGAAGTGGTACTGTGGCTCAAGTGGTAGAGTGCTAGCCTTGAGCTGAAGAGCTCAGGGACAGCTCCAAGGCCCAGAGTTCAAGCACCACTGACACACTGACACACACACACTGACACTGACACACACACACACACACAAATTCTTCCCCCAATTCTATGTCAATGTGAATTATTAAGTTCAGGCATTCAATAAAAAAAAATCTTATAAGTTTGACATAAGTGTATGGGCATTTACATTTATTCCTTCCTTTTCTTTTTTGTTTTGGTGCTAGCTAGTACTGGGGTTTGAACTCAGGACTGTGAACTCAGGACTTGCCTTTTTTTACTCAAGGCTGGCATTCTACTGCTTATGCCACACCATTGCTTCCTTATTTTACTTTTAAATCATTAAAAAATTATTTTTAAATAGTTCTACAAAAGGGTTTCAATTCAACATGTAAATTTACATATACAATTTGCATATCGATCAAAGTCACTCTTCTGAAAGGTGGTAGCACTGGATGAAAACACTGGATAGGACCACATTTTAACTAACTGTGTAAGTGATACTTCGTAAGAAAATTACTTTTTACTGTTTGTTAATACATTATTATTTAAAAAAAAAACTTTGCATACTGGTCCTTCTGCAAGAGATGCAAGCACTTCATCCCACAGCTTCTGGTTCTGACAGTCTTCTCTGATTAGTCGCTGCTGTTGTGGGGTGAGCTGGAAAGCCTCGACTGCTTCCGCTGGATCTGATGGTTTCACCACTTTGGAGGCACTTGGACATTCATCTACATTTATTTTAAGAATATGTCAGCAGATGTTCACAGTTTTGCTTAGAACCACAATAATGAGAGTTAACTAGTACCAGTAATGTTTAGCAGAAAGATACCCACATAGAGCAGCATCTAACTTCCCCTGGAGTTTACAATATTATACTTGATGCTACCATGGCTCCAACATTGCTAAAATACACAAATAGACCCATCTCCCCCTGCAAAGTAATGACAATACTTTTGTTTTTTATTTCTTACAAATCTCATTTTTTTCTTTTAATATCTCTCTTTTGCAAAATGTATATTTTTGGTATATGTAGTATGCAACTGTTACCCACCATCTGAAGTAGGCCTTTTTGTGGCTTCACTGGTCTGTTTCTTTGATGGTCCTTTAGTTTTTTTCCCTTCCTTATCTGATGGGTAACCTGCTGGATACTGGTAAGGAGGGGAAAAGGACAATTTAGATTTGTGGCTTTCAGAGAAGAAAGTGGGGAGGAAGAGTCTATACTTTATCTAAACTGAGAAATTACACAAGAGAAATCCATATTAAAAAATAGAATTCAGAGGCTATTAGAATCACAAATTCCATGTAAAGTCAGGTGTGTGTGTGTGTGTGTGTGTGTGTGTGTGTGTACACTCAATGTTAGTTCTCTAACATTTGAGCCACAGTTCCCACTTTCAGCTTTCTGGAGGCTAATTGGAAATAAGAGTCTCATGGACTTTCCTGCCCTAGCTGGCTTCGATCCACAATCCTCAGATCTCAGCCTCCTCACTAAGTAGGATTATAAGCATGAGGCACCAGCACCTAGCTAAGCCATGTGGTTTAGTGGTAGAGTGCTTGTCTAGCATGCATTGAAGCCCTGGGATCCATTCCTCAGTACCACATAAACAGAAAAAGCTGGAAGTAGCACTGAGGCTCAAGTAGTACAACACTAGCCCTGAGCATAGAGAAGCTCAGGGATAGAGCCCAGGCCGAGTTCAAGCCCCAGGACCAGCAAAAACAAAACAAAACAACAACAACAATTTCCATTTTATAATACAATAATCTTAAGTTTCAGATCTAAGAGAGTTACATAAGAAATCTTCATGTATTTTTCTGGATGGATTGAACATTTAAGAAAAGGAGCATTTACATATGAAAGTGAGACTCAATCACAAAGCACAAAAATAGTAGTATTCAACTATATAGGATAATTGTATAATGGAGTCAATTTAAAATAAAAAACCTAATTGCCAAATTTCTCATTTCCCAAAATTTGGAGGTGAAGTGAGCTTTCAGAAGATTTGATTTGATGTGACTAAATTACTAAGTTTGTTAAGCCCCTCACAGTCAGACTTGAACAGATATATTCTACCTAGTACCTTTATATTTTACTAGCTACCTTTTTGTTTTTGTATGGGACATGCTTTTGTGGTAACACTCATATTTAAAGTGCAATGTGTTTCTGGTCTCAATGGTGGTGTTATTAATTCATCATGGCATATGTGCTTTTATGCTGCTTCTTATCAGTTTCAAATCTAATTTATTAGAACTTAAATACTGGGATCTGAAAATACTTTCGAAAATGAATTTGCAAAGTTTCTAAAAAAATTGGTCATAAAAGAATTATTTCGGTAATTATTTTAGTAGCTGATGGATCTTGTTCAAACAATCATTTTCTTGAATTAAAAAACAAAACCAAAAACAGAAACAGACTTGCACTAGAAGACACACACTCACCTGCCTGCGTGGTCAGACACTTGCCCATAGTTCAGCCCCTACACATGCAGTGTGGGCAGAGCCAGGGGAAATGACAAAGCTGGCAGTCTTTACAGGAAGCACAATGATGGGGAATGATGGGGGATGAACTCAAACCATGCTCTGAAATCACTGTCAGGAACAAAGTCTAGGGTATACAGCAGCGAAGGGGAAGGCAGCCACACCATCCAGTATGTACACAAAACCAACAAAGTCTTTTATGAGTTAACAGCTGAGCATGGGCAAAGGGGGGGAAAAGGCAAAAGCATTCAAAGTGTGGCAGGGCAGGGAAGCAGCTTTGCAGGGAAGAGAGAAAAGGAGTGAGGAAAAGTGAGAAGGGTAGGAAGCAGAACATTCTTATAAGCCACCTCCCCCCATTTCCCCTACTCAAACACACCCTTTTCTATACCATGTAGGATAGAAAGTATTTTTTAGGACCTCCTAACCTAAATCTTGTGGGTCCCTTTCCCTTATAATTCAAGTCATTTCCAAATAAAATTGGGAACACTTTTCCTTGACAAGTCCAGTTTTTCCCAGCAATAACCCTTGGTTCTAGGCAGTCTTGATACCTAGGATGCTACCCTTTATCCCCCTGTCCCCCACATACTTTCATACCTCTTAAGAGTCCAATGATCAATGGCTATGAATTATATCCAGCGTTAAGGCACATAGATAGTACTGAGTTTTTATAAACATATGGGTAGCCTAAATGTAATCTAACCTGTAAACGCAGACATAATCTCCTTGATCGTTCTATTCCTTCTGAGGTCCAAGGTGCAGGTTCAACATCATCCCTTCTTAAAAGATAGCGCCAAACCAAGAAACCATGGCTGGATGAAATCTCTGGCCAGTATTTCACCACCTATATCATAATATTTCAGTACTGGATTGAGATTTAAGATTTATTTTTATCCATAATGTCATCATGTTAGTGGTTTAAGTAAACTTGTCAGAATTAAATGCAATCAGAAGATATTTGCCTTGCTGTAAGAAGAGTATAGTCAAGAATATTCACTAGATTATTTCCTATTAAGATAGTTCCTATATAAGCATATATTGCTATAAATATATTAACAAAAACAAAACCATACTGATGAACATTAATTGTGAATTAGGTAAATACAGTGGCAATGTGATATCTTTATTTTTTAAACAAAAGATACAAATCAATTTTTAATGTTCAAATGTATAATGCTCTGAAAATCTATTGTGATCATTAAAATTATGAGCAATCTGAAAAGATATACAAGAACCAATGCCTACAACAGTCAAGTTACTTATCATAAGAGAATATATACTTATTTTAAAAAATACTTGGGATTGAATGTAGCTCACTGATAAAAGTGCTTATCCCAAAAGCACTAAAAAAAAAAGGAAAAGGAAAAGTCATCGTGACTCAAACTCTAACTCTGCCCTTAAGAACTGAAAATTATCAAAATTGGGCTGGAGGCTTGTCTCAAATGGTAGAGCTTCCAGCTACGAATAAGTATCACAGTTAACAGTTCAATTTACACATCTGCTAATATTTTCAGAAAAAGTAGAAATGCCGAGTTATATGACCTGTTTTTCCTCTCAGCCCACCCACAGTAGTTCTCTGTGGCAACCCTGTTGTGAAAGCCCAGGAAGAATGACTAACAAGATGTCATGCCAGATAGAGCACCTTATAAATGCCATCATATCTGTTGCCTTCTTCAGGAGCATATTTGCTGATCTTCCTCCCTTTAAAACTGCGTATCACTCTGACTGGCTTACCAGCTCTCCAATTCCGAGACTCTGCTCCAACTTTATCATCCAATGGAGCATCACAGTTTAGGGCCAATGCCCTAAAAAAAAAATAAAACGAAGTCTTTATACCAAGTAATCTTTCTCCAAGTATATAATCGAGTCATTGGGTCAGTTAAAAGGTGAATTATGCCTTACCTGATGGTTAAGATTCTATGATTCTTTCCATATTATTCCAGACAATAGGATTATGCTTTCCCCCACCAGCAGAGAAGACAAATCAGTTTTCTGATGTCACCCCTAAGCCAGGGGATTGGTTGTCAGATAGCCTGTAGGGTTCTTCTGAAAGTAATAACATCTGTGCCACGTATAATAGAAAACAACTAGAAATACATGGAATTTGCTTTAAATAACGTTTGTTGAGGGAAAGGAGAACGTTGGAAAACTAAAACTAAAGCAAGTGACTGTTTTAATTGTTATTTTTGATAAGGGAATAGGTAACTTTCTGGAATAATGTAGAAAGAAACCTAGGAAAATAAATTTGTCAGTAAGGTCCAATTGACCTTTAGGTTTACTTTCCATATTCCAGATAGCAAAATTCTGACAAGTTTAAGTGTATTATAAACAACTGCAATATAAAAATATTAAAAAAAATTCTCCATAAAGAGGTAAAACTGAAGCCCTAAAATGCCTGCACTAACTTATAACAATAAGATTTCTGGTTGCTTGAGATCACTAGTTTACTAATGACACACAGACTGAGTTGGAAACACCTGATGTTAACTGAAAGTTTCCTTAGTATGTTCACTCACAGGAATAAATCAGTGAATTTATTTGATGTTATAAGACCTTTCTTGGGAGAACCTAGTCTTATTGAAAACATTGTTTAGGGCTGGGAAGGTAGCTCAGTGGTAGAGGGCTTGCATGAGGCCCTGGGTTTGATTCCTCAGCACCACATAACCAGAAAAAGATCAAAGTGGCACTGTGGCTCAAGTGGTAGAGTGCTTGGGCTGAAGACCTGAGGGACAGCGCTCAGGCCCAGAGTTCAAGCCCCATGACTGACAAAAAGAAAAGACAATATTGTTTAAAATTAGTATTTTCTCATAAGACATGTACTTCACTTCCTAAATTAAGTGATAAAACACTGAGAATACACAAGATTTTATGTGTGTGTGTGTGTGTATAGCCAACTGGTAGAATCAGATATGATAAAATTTAAAATTTCAGGATGTAGTTTTATGTAGGCTCAAATAAAAAATAGCTCTCAAGATTATGACTAACCTGTTGAAAAGGAATTGCTTAACCAGAGTTATCTTTTTAAAGTAAGTGAGGTTTTGAAAGATTTGTTTTTTAAAATAACTTTTGTAGCTATTAACAAAGAAGTAAGATTACTAAGTTATCTTTATCTAAAGGGGAAATACTTTAAAAATCTGAGGAGGGCTGGGAAGGTGGCTCAGCGGTAGAGCGGTTGCCTTGCATGCTCAAGGCCCTGGGTTCGATTCCTCAGCACCACATAAGCAAAAAGAAAAAAGCCGGAAGTGGCGCTGTGGCTCAAGTGGTAGAGCGCTAGCCTTGAGCTGAAGAGCTGAGGGACAGCGCCCAGGCCCAGAGTTCAGGCCCCACGACCGGACCCAAAATAAATAAATAAATAAATAAAAATCTGAGGAGTAGAAGAAAATACAGCCATATTCCATTTTACATGGAATACCTGTAGGTTATTACCTATAGGCAATTCATCTTCTTAGGGAGCTAGGGTAAGTATTAACTTCATGTCACTGAGTGACAGGCTTTACAGCTCACAGGTACCTGCAGTCATAATTACTGCTACCACTAAAGCCCTATCAACTAATTTCTGTTTTCAGCTAAGTATACAGTCTGTTCAGGATTGTGAACAAGTCCAGCGAATGAAAGGAGGCACAACAGCAGCAAAGCTCTTCCACTACAGTATCACTTCCTATTAGCAAAGAAGCAAAGAAAAATACACCATACACTGCTTGGGAAAGAACATTCTACTGGTCAGAGCTAAAGACTTTTGATCTCAGTTTTCATGTTTATGAGATATGTTTAAAGTTTAATATACAAAGTAACTAACTGGACGTTAAGGTGGGTTATCATCTTCATACAAGCTAACCCTAGATTGCTCTCAGTTAAAATTTCAGAATCTTCCTTTTAAAAGCAAATGTTTCAGAATCTTCCTTTTTAAAAGCAAATGTTTTGGGCTGGGAATGTGGCTTACTGGTAGAGTGTTTGCCTAACAGGCATGAAGCCTTGGGTTTGATTCCTCTGTACCACATAAACAGAAAAAGCTGGAAATGGTTCTGGAGCTCAAGTGGTAGAATACCAGCTTTGAGCCAAAGAAGCTCAGGGACAGTGCCCAGGCCCTGAGTTCAAGCCCTGGGACTTGCACAAAAAAAAAAAAAAAAAAAAACAAATGTTTTTACTGGTTGTCAAGTTATTAATCTAATGAAACTGTAACAGTATTGGATTGTCCATAATTTTAAATGAATCTACTATGTGTATTATAGGTGTGAGTCATTATGAAAGAAGTTTCATTCAAGCAAAATAGTCTACTATTATTAACAAGAAAATATAATTTTCAGATTTGACACCTTAAAGCCCCTTTGAAAATTAAGATATATTTTCATTGAGAAAATCTATCAGAATTTTTCTAACACCTTTTAAGATTGTTCTGCCAGATGAACAGCCTTCTTGATAGAGAAAGAACATCTAGGGACTGGATACTATCTCAGGAATGATTCCACCAGCAAACCTGACCTGTCTCCTCTGCTGGTTCAGAAAATAATCCTACTGTCAGAAATAATATACAAGACATAAAAACAGATATTCTATGTAACTCAGTATGCAATAAAGTTTTGAAACCATACTGGCATATTTTTTATTTCACACGGTAATCAGAAATAAAGGGGAGACTAAAAACTGAGTGATTTTGATTTTAAATGAAACATACTCACTTTTACTCAATACAAAAAATACCCTTAATAAGACACAAAAACTTTCAATAAAATAATCAGAGAAATTTTACGATGACAAGTTATAATGTGATAATCGTCATCTGATGGCAATACTGACATTAAAATGCCTTAAAATGTTTTGACACTCTTAAATTTTGTGTTCCACTCAGGCTGATATCATTAATATTTCTATAATAGAGGTCAGTACAAGGTAGCTCTTTTGTAATGACCTAAGAGGATTTAGTACAAAAAGATCACTTTTTAAATCAACGTTACCTTTAAACATTTAGAAGATACCTTCTTAATATAAAAAAGTACTTGAGTGCAGTTCTCATGAAGTTAACTTTATTTCACTTATGCCCATGTGGCTTCCAACCATAAGCCCTATTCACATTTATTGAGTTTCCACTAAAAAGAAGTTTAGTTCATAACTTTAAAAGATAAATCTGTGTTATTTAGCAGATCATTTTTGTTTTGACTAGTAGGGCAGTCAACAAGCCACCTTGTTCTCAATTTTACTTCAAATATATAGGCTCTTGTCAAAGTCAGCAACAAGTTTTCAAGTGCACAGGGCATATTTAGTAAAACAAAAGGCACTGTGTCATTTAAAAATGAACAATATGAAGAAGTTAGGATGCTTATAATTATATAAGCAGGCAAAGGAATTTTCGTTTCTTATCTTTACTTCTTAATTTAACATTCTGCCCTGCAGCCTAATCACAAGTTAGAACCTGTAAGTTTGATTACTAAGTAATCAAACTTTTATACAACATCCAAATAGAAACAGTCTTTACAATAGTACCTGTTCATATTTGTTAATGTTTGATCAGCTGATGGTGCACCAATTCTTTTATTACCAGCAAGATTTTTACCACCACTTCCAGTGTATGTGAATTCATCACCTCGGTCCTACAGGAGAATATTTTCACAAGAAAATATCTAAGCATAATTTCACTCATTCTTATTTTATTTTATTTTTTTTCATTCTTATTTTAAAGTCAGAACATTTGTTTAGGATATTATGAATTGTCATGTTCTTTCATGGTATCTATGAAAATAACACAAAATTCAAATAAAATTATGAAAATATACCTGATGGTGAAAACATCTTTAGTTCTAATTTCCAACATCTCCATACTTGGTTATACTCAGGGTAGGTATGTGGACAAAATAAATCTCCAGAATAAGAGGTTTTATTGAAATACTCTATTTCACTATCAGTACTAGCTTATGGGCTATTTACAGAAGGTACTGTTTTCACAAAAACACTCATAACTGAATCTTCAAGTGTCATTTTGACCACATCTAAGTTTGCTGCTGAAGACTCAAATTCTGATGTTGATAATAAATATTTTTTTTCTTGGTGCTGGTCTTAGGGCTGGGCCTTGACCTTTTTTGCTCAAGGCTAACCCTCTACCACCTGATCCACAGCTTCACTTATTTCAGCCTCCTAAGTAGTTAGGATTAGAGGCATGAGTGGCTGGCACCCAGAGGTATTAAATTTTATAAATCAAGTTTACCTAAGAGCCTCATATGAGATTTCTAATAGCATAGGAAGTTTTCTACATTTCATACTCAACTTTAAGTTCTTCCATAATACATTTGGGTAAAATAATAGTTTACTATTAAAAACTAATCTAGATAAGAATTTGAAAATTGAAAGTAGTAGTATCTACTAAATGTGAAAAAATAAACATGCTCAAACTGGGGCTGGGAATGTGGCTCAGTGGTAAAGTGCTTGCTTAGTATGCATGAAGCCCTGGGTTCGATTCCTTAGCACCACACAAACAGAAAAAGCCAGAAGTGGCACTGTGGCTCAAGTGGTAGAGTGCTAGCCTTGACAAAAAGAAGCTCAAGGACAGTGCTCAGGTCCTGAGTTCAAGCCCCAGGACTGGCAAAAAAAAGAAAAAAAAAGAATTACCTGTTTCTTTAATGCAAATCATTTTAACTAGTTCAGGGTGAACTTAAAACGATGTTTTGTCTACTAAGTTCCTTTTCTTTGTGTGCTGGTCCTGGGGCTTGAACTTAGGGCCTACGTGCTGTCTCTGAGCTTTTCTGCTCAAGGCTAGTGCTCTACCACTTCAGCTTTTTGAAGGTGCGTAAGTAGAGATCAGAGTCTCAGGGACTTTCCTGCCCAAGCTATCTTTGAACCTCAATCTTTAGCCTCCTGAGTAGCTAGGGTTACAGGCATGAACAACCAGTGCCCATTTTGTCCACTAAATTCTTCCTTGCTACTGAGGTCAAATATCTTGTTTTCTTTTGAACTAAGCTTAATTAAAATCTTGGGTTAAAGCTGTTGACATAATTCAACCATGGTGGTACATTCCTGTAATTCTAACACTTGGAAGGCAGATACAATTGGACTGAGTTGGAGTCTAAGGCCAGTTTAGGCTAAATAGTAAGTTCTGTGCTAGACAAGGTGTGACCCAGACTCAAATCAAACAAGTAAGTGTGCTTTTATTGACTCCAAAACTTTGAAAGTTTTCTCTCTCTCTTTTTTTAAACATAACATATTGAAGAACTTCATCTTCGGTGTATATTCTATTTAAAGGAACTCTAAGTACATCTTAACACAACAATCCAGAAAATTTCTTAAGCTGATCAGAACCAATCTTATACATAGTATCTGAATTGATTCCACAATACTAATAACTTCCAATCTTTTAATCATGACAGTACTGCAAAGAGTGAGGATTATGATAGAATATGCACATTCTAATCTAAACTGTAGTTAAAGCAAAACTTAAAAAAAAACCTTCTTGAGAGAAGGGATGGACTTGGGAAGGATGGGGCAGAATGGCAACAGGTTTGTACAACTACTTAAAGTTTAAAAAAAGATAGAAAACATCATTTAAAAAACAAAACAAGGCCAGGTGCTGGTGGCTTATGCCTAGAATCCTAGCTATTTAAATGACTGAGATCTGAGGATTATGGTTCAAAACCAGTCTAAACAGGAAAAGTCCATGAGACAATTTGAGCCACAGCTTCACTTCCAGATTTTTGGTGATTAGGTGAAACTAAGAGTGACAGATCATTATCCATGAGCACAAAAATTCAGGGACAGTGCCAAGGCCTGGAGTTCAAGCCCTAAGAACAACATAAAACAAAACCTCTGATTGTTCTTTAAGCAGCATATAACCAAAATAATCAGGTGTCAAGAATAACAATTAAATTCTATATCACTAATTCATCTGTACTTCAATTATCATAACAAAAGTATATACTCTTTAAAATTTTTTATTGTTATTATAAAGGTGATGTACAGAGAAGTGTACATTTTCACAAGAAAAATGATTTTCCATCCTATTAGAACTTTACAATTTCAGACCATTAGTTTTAATTTGTTGCATCTTCTAGTCCATGAGCCACTAAAATGTACCTAGAGAAGAATCCTAAACAAGTTTGCTACCAAAGAAGGGAACACATAAAGAAAATGTAACTAAGCAAGAACATGAGGTACTAAGTTCAATCTCTACTTCCAGCACAAAAAAAAAAAAAGAAAAAAAGAAAAGAACTACATACCACAGGAGACAAGGTGCTGTCCCAGAGGAACATACGTTCCCAATCCCTATCCTACCTTCCATGGTGCCAAAGCAGCTACCTAACACCATCTGGGAGCTTCCATTCCTGACATCATCCTCATCTTTCTTGGCCTCTTCACTTAATGTTATACAATCAACCATCCTAATGCAGGAGATGTCTTTAATTTCTAATATTAAAGTGAAGCTGCAGCTGTTTTAAAATACTTCTAATTTGTAAAAAAAAAAAAAGCACCTTAAAGAATATTTTCCTTTTTAATAGTTCCTGAATACATATAAATCACTCTATGTAAAGATTAGGTATTAAAGTGATTTCTCTTGTAATTTGTATAGAACCAATTACTCCAATATAAAGTCTATGTTATCAAGAAAACATAGAATTTGATGTATCCTAGACAAAGAATTTCATGTATCCTAGACAAAGCACCTGTATTTTATAGAACAAGACAGGTTCTAAAGAACAAGGTCATGCTAGGCACTGGTGGCACACGCCAGTTATCCTAGCTACTTAGGAGGTTGAGATCTAAGGCAGTCCTGGTTCAAAGCCAGCCCAAGCAGGAAAGTCCATGAGACTCTTATCTCCAATAAACCACCAGAAAACCGGAAATGGCACTGTGGGTCAAGTGGTAGGGCATTGCCTTAAGCTTGAAGAACTGAGTGATGGTGCCCAAGCCCAGATTTCAAGCCCCATGACTGACCAAAAACAATCAAACAAACAAAAAAAACACCCAAGGTCATATGATCACTTACTACTTCATCTGCAAATCCTCCAGCCAAGACAAGAGAATAAGCCCCATCATTGCTGCGACCATGAATTCCACCAACATGAGGCCTATGAACGCCTGCTTCGCTCACCTATAAAGTAAGTAAAACGACTCTCACAGTACTTTTTTAACCACTGAATTACATTTAACAAATGCTTTCACTGTTATTGGACCCTAAAAATCCAAGTGCTGTATCTCACTCAGAGTTCTACCTTCTGCTCTTCTTTGTTTTCCCCAAACAAACCCTAAAGGTACAGAGCTGACAAGCCTAGAATTCTGAGCTTAAAATAATGACTAAGTAATCATTACTTTATATAACCCTAACTTCCAGCTCAAGGAGAACTATCAGGAGACAATACCTCTTCTCCTTTCTTGTTTATCATATTTCAGATAGTAGATGTTTCCTAACCAGTTTGTCAAGTCAAACATGCAGCAATCCTTTTAACTTCATTCTTCTACATTATTACTCAAAGCCATTTATCCCAGGACTACTGTGATTTTTGTCTCTTAAACTCAAACCCATCTTTTTCTTTTCTTTTTCTTTTTTTTGGTCAGTTGTGGGGCTTGAACTCTGGGCCTGGGTGTTCTCCCTGAGCTCTTCAGCTCAAGACGAGGGCTTTACCACTGGAACCACAGCGCCCCTTCTGGCTTTACTGAAGGTAAGAATCTCACTGACTTTCCTACCTGGGATGGCTGTGAACTGCAGTCCTCAGATCTCAGCCTCCTGAGTTAGGATTACAGATGTGATCCACGGGTGCCCAGCTAACCCCATCTTTTTCTACTTTTATTGCTCAGTCTTGGTTTGAGACATGAATGTTTACAATAATGAATGCTTTTGCACTGACTGCATCCAGTTTTGCTCCTTTAAATCCATTCTATCTAGCATAAACAGAATTATTCAATGTTTGATTTCTAACAGCTTAAAACACATTACATGGTATCATAATAACAAACCAAAATTAAGCATTATAAATTACCCTCTCTCACCCTGGTTCCTCTCTACTTGCCCAGATTCATCAGTAGCTTCTTTTTCATTCATCCCCTATATTTCAGTCAAAACCACTCATTTCTAGTTCAGTTATACTATTCCACTTCAGTGGTCTACTGCTTTTTCTCATTTTGAATTCTACCTCATTGAAACACGTGCCCTTTGTGTTCTTTGAACTCCCTAGGAAAAATATTATAACTCATCAATGTTGTCATCCATTTGTTCTTGGATTAAAAGAAGCTGAAATTCAAACTTACAAAGTATTCTTGGGAATTTAAGACACTTGAAAAAAGAACAAGAAACCAGTAAGACTAACTGAACCTGAAAAGGTTTCGGCCTGGAATCCAGAGTAAAACTTCACCTCAAATATAAAATAAAAAATATAAACACATAAAAGCATACCTGAACTCTAAATCTCCAAGTTGACCCAACAGGAATACCAGGAATAGGTCCATAATGATTAGACGGGACAATAGTACATTCTTTTGTACGACCAACACAAGCCATTCCCTGTAAGTCATAAAACAAGGTGCCGAGAAACCATTATGTTAAATCTTAATAATTTATTCACATCTATTTCCATAAATCCAACAAAAATAGAAACTTGGCTATTCATGTATCACTGATATTAACTATTAATTATTGTATTGTTTAATCTCTTTAATTACCATGGTATTGAAACACACTATACTATAAATTGCTACTAAGGAAGATTCGTTTTTTACCCTGCCCCAGTCTCTCCGGCTTTCAGTACTAGATGATGGCATCTTTGCTTTTTTTTTACTCATCTTGAGTTTTTCTCCAGCCTTTACAACCTCACTGGAATCAGTTTTACAGGAAGGACAATACCTTTAAGTAAAGAAAAAGAACAAAAAATTTTGACAATATATCGAGTCCAATCAATAATAGTAACAACACAGCAATCTTTTTAGATTAGGTCAAATTCTAAGATTGGGATATATTATAGCACTTCAGCTAGCACTAAATTATTAACCTTTTCAAAACATTTATATGATTAGTTAGCTATAAAAAATTGTCACTGAGGCTGGGAAGGTGGCTCAGTGGTAGAGTGCTTGCCTTGCATGCATGAGGCCCTGGGTTTGATTCCTCAGCACCACATAAGCAAAAAAGAAAAAACCGCAAGTGGCACTGTGGCTCAAGTGGTAGAGTGCTAGCCTTGAGCTGAAGAGCTGAGGGACAGTGCCCAGGCCCAGAGTTCAGGCCCCACGACCAGACCCCCCCCCCAAAAAATTGTCACTGATAGAGACTTTAAAAGTTCAGTATTATAAATCCTCACATTTAGTTCAAACACCAGACAAAAATATGAAATTCAAATGACACCACAAACTCTAATCTCACTAACCCTAAGAACAGAAATTCGCTTGAAATTCTTATCATTAAAAGGAGAAAGAATCAATGCTTCTAGATCCAATATTAAACTGTGTAATAGGCACATCTCCACATCTAACTTCATTAGAGTGAAAACTATACATAGTCTATTATAACAAGTGCACAGGACATCGAAGATGTTTTTTCATATTCACCTAGCTAATTTTAATCCCTTCTACTTGTTTGTCTTATCAATTGTCTTAATCTTTTTGGGGGGAGGGGCAAGGAAGGGGCTAGCAGAAGAAGGATGCTCTACTAGGATTTGAACATAGAACCTCATGCTTGCTAAGAGTAAAGAGGTACTCTACTACTTGAACTACACTCCCAGACCTTTTTTTGTCTCAGGTTTTTCCCTGGGGCCTGCCTTAGATGTTGATCTTCTGATCTAGACTTCTACATGGCAAGAATCACACATGTATACCAACAGGCCTGGCTTAATGATTGACTTTTTACTCTGCTGGCCTCAAACCATGATCATCTCAATCTTTACATCCCCAGTAGTTGGGCTTATGGTTTACATTAGGCTACTGTGCCTATGTCTACAGAATGAGATAGGACTTCTTATGTGCCACTGAGAAGCTGACAAGTTTGAATATGCTAACAAAGATCTAATAGCCATTCCTACTTAAAATTGAATTTGCCAAAATTTTCCATTTCACAATCTATTCCACATGGCCTTTTGAACAAAGAAGGTATCTATCTATGTCCACTGGTCAATCCCAAGTAACCATGAGATATTTTGTTTTGGCACTTTAAAAGCCTACATATGTCTAAGAAGACACTATAATAAGTTGAAAATCACTTCTCCCAAATGCTTTTTAAAGAAGCAGTAATATAAACCTCACTGAAACAATGGGAAAGAAAAATATGAGAATTCAAAGAAAAACAGTTATGTAGTCATGGCAAAATTCAGACTGTGACCGCATAAGTAGTAAGAGGTAATATTAAGAAGCGATATCCTTTTTTACTTTCACTCCTATAGCCTCTGTAGTAATGCAGCAAACATCTAATAGGCCAAAGAAAGACAATTAAATAATAATGTGCAGGGTCCTTCACAAATTAGCCTTTGAAGCAAATGAGTAGTATTCAGATTTATGCTTTTGAAAGCATAAATACTGGATTGGAGAAGGAACTGGGGGGAAGGTGGTTAAAATGGATCTAAGCCTGGTGTCCATGTCTTAGAACAGGAGTCCTAGCTACTCAGTAGTCTGAGATCTGAGGATCGAGGTTTGAATCCAGCAAGTGCACACAAATCCAAGAACTTGTTACCAGTAAAAAGCCAGAAGTTGAGCTGTGGCTCAAGTGGTAAAGTGCCACCTTTGAGTGAAAAAAGCTAAGCAAGAGCCAGAACCCAGCTTAGAATTCATTATAATAACTGAATAAATATATCAATAACTGAATAAATATATCAATCCCAAGTATCTATTGGCTGGAACATTTTAAGCACTTTGTTTAATATACATTACATATCTTTACAAATCTACTTTAAGTAGTTCAAATATCCATTTCATACTCATTTTTTTTGTGTTTTTTTTGGGGGGGGTCTGGTGGTGGGGCCTGAACTCCGGGCCTGGGCACTGTCCCTCAGCTCTTCAGCTCAAGGC